AAAAAAAAAAAAAGTTTAAATAGACTCACTGGTTTCTCTTCTACCAAGAATTTTTTTTGACCATCTACCATGGGGAGCTGATTATTTTTCTAGCGTGGGTTGCAGGTCTGATGCGTATGTTATAGGCTAGTTAACATATGGTAAAGCTGAGCATTTTTGATTGTTTAAGAATTCTTTATTTTTGTTGTGCTTCCTAGTAGTTCCTTTTGTGTTGTTGGATCCCAGGGTGGATGTGGCCAATGCCCAAAGGAGATTAATGTGTGTGAATATGTGGAATGACCCCATGGACATGGTAGAAGGATTTTTCTTATAGAAATATATATCTATAGTTGACAGATGTATTTAATGAAAGTTAGAGATACTCAGTGACCATCTATAATCTTCAAGAATAACATCAATCACAGAAGGCAACTGTCATGTTTTTCTACAATTATCCCATTGTTGAGGAGTGACTAGTAAGCTAAATGGATCACTGATTGACCCCATAGCATATTTCACATGTTCTTATGGTAAGAGAATTCTGACTACTCATGTGGTTTTTAACTTGAGGAATATGTGTCATAGCAGGAAAACACAGTTACCTATAAACCTTTGTCTAAAGAATTATTAGAGAATTCTTTTTTTTTAATTATTATTATGTTAATCACTATACATTACATCATTAGTTTTTGAGGTAGTGTTCCATGATTCATTGTTTGCATATAACACCCAGTGCTCCATGCAGAACGTGCCCTCTTTAATACCCATCACTCTTTTGGCAGGAGGTTAGTTTGGGAAGGACAACACATAGCGGTTAAGAAAGAAAATGCCCACTTGGTCATTTCTATTATATGAATAAACCTTGTCAGTAGAAGGGCAGACTCATGGTAGTGAATCAGTGAATGAATGTGTGTGTGTTACTTTATCTATGAAAGAGGGAGCAGGGATACGTGAGTGCCTCAAACACAGACTTAAGTGGATCGCTCCCTTTCATCTATGTAAGGCTACCACTGAAAAACAGAAGAGGACTGAAGTTGTTTATTTTACTGAAGAAAAGTGGGAACCATTTTTCTTAAGATACAACTCTTCCCAACCTTTTCTTCTTCTTTTCGACTTCTTAAAATTCAGTGAAAACATTTCAACATTTTCATATTCTTTCCACTGATCTGGGTGATCCTTTGCTTTCCAGCCATAAAACTTGACTGCAGTCCAGTGCCATGTAACGAGCTCCTCTTGCTGGCTCTGTTCTTTAGTCCTGAGTAGGGTGTTTGACTGTCCCACATTCTGCAAGACCCCTGGGAACAGACACACCAGGCGGTTGGTCACCCTGACCCTGAGTGTGTATGTTACATTGTAGGGATGGGGCGGGGAGGGTGGCGTGAGAAGGGAGGATGCTGATGGAAAGGTGAATTCCTGAGGTGTGAAGAGAACAGTTTTTTATTCTGAAGAATGTTTACTATGGCTAAGAAAATATGAAAATCAGTAAGCCAGTGTCTGTGTGCTGAGGAATGAATCAGGGCTTACTGCATTAGACCTGAGTATTAAATGGATCTCTGTGTTTGGTCCTGCATTCTTCATACCTATACTAAAGGACAAATGGGGATATAAGAGGAATACCATAATGATTCTGAGCCTTCCCTAAACATAGAACAGTCTGCTGTCAGTGGGTTTTGGTCCTAAGTACACTCTTTCCTGCTCTGGGAAACCTTATCTTAGCAAATGGAGAAGTGAACATTTTTACCTTTTTTCTTTTTTTTTTTTTAAGATTTATTTGAGAGAGCGAGTGAGCGAGCACAAGCAGGGAGAACTGCAGAGGGAGAGGGAGAAACAGACTCCCTGCTGAGCAGGGAGCTTGACCAAGTGGGGCTCAATCCTGGGACCCCAGGACCATGACCTGAGCCAAAGGCAGACCCTCAACCAACTGAGCCATCCAGGCACCCCATATTTTTACTTTCAAATATAAGGCCTTTTTGCAGTTACAGACTACTTTAAACATTCTTCATCTAGATCTATATTAATACTTAGAGTAAAACTTCCTGTAACATATCTGCTAGATCAATTTCAGGTTTTACTTTTGCCTTGATGTCCCTTAGTGATCTTGTCTTTGTCCCCTTACTCTTGTTCTTGGTTTCTGACCTTACAGAGAAGTGTGGGAAATGGAACTGGATAGACTCAAGAATCAGGATGGTGAAATAAATCGGAACATTATGGAAGAGACAGAACGGGCCTGGAAGGCAGAGGTGAGAAGAGCTCTGTGTGGAAAGCCTTGATTTGGGGCTTCCAGATAGTATAATACTCTTGGGTATAGTGTTATACCACTAAGCCATACAAGTATTGTAGTTTATAGCCACTAAGCATTTGTTTTAACTAGCTGGGGGAAGCTTCGTGTATGTAAAATTAATAAAGTGTGTGTGTGTGTGTGGTTTCCTTAGATCTTATCACTAGAGAGTCGGAAAGAGTTGCTGGTATTGAAACTAGAAGAAGCAGAAAAAGAGGCAGAACTGCACCTTACTTACCTCAAGTAAGTACCCTCCCATCCTAGAGTTTTAATGATCCTGCAGTTTTGTGTTTTCTTGGTGATTTTTTTGGTTTGGTTTGGTTAGTTTTTTGAAACCCGAGGCCCACTAGTCTAGCACTTACTCTGTCTTCTCAGGAATTTCAGGGCCACCTCTGTCTGCACAGTAGCCATTGTTCAGTCATTTCTCTTCCCATATTTTATAGTTTTGTATTTTTTATTGTATTGGTTCCAACTGGATAAACAATATCTCTTATGGTGTCAAAGCATAACAAATATCTTTGGAGATCTGTTTCTCATAGAGTCATTTCTCCTCTTTCTGCCGTGGAATCTGGAGGACCCCTGTGACATTTCCAGGCGGACAAAAGCCCTTTTTCTGTGGTTGCTCCTCTTTCTCTAATAATTGGTTTAAAAGATGCCAGAGTGAGAGTGAAGCACACAGACCCTGGCCTCCTCCTATACCTGGTCTGACCTTTTCTCACCAGGACCGCTGACCAGCCACTGTCCTGCTATCTCAGAGAGTCAGGAGCTGGCCTTGCTCTAATTCTCTGAATTCCTGTTGATTTCTTGAAAGGTCAACCCCCCCAACACTAGAGACAGTTCGTTCCAAACAGGAGTGGGAAACAAGGCTGAATGGAGTTCGGATGATGAAAAAGAATGTTCGGGTAAGTGTTGTACTGTGTGATCTTTGAGTCAGGGTTCAGGCTGTGCTTAAACCTGTGGTGACCAGAGGGACCTTGTACATCGTCACTGAGGGGCTGCTCCACCCCTGCCTTTGCTCTCCTGATACTGGAAGGTGCTCTCTTTCTCAAGAGGCTTACTGAGCTCAGCAGAGAGGATGATCTGCTCCTTTCTCTCTTTTCTAGGACCAGTTTAACAGTCATATCCAGTTGGTGAGGAACGGAGCCAAGCTGAGCAGCCTTCCTCAAATTCCTACTCCCACTTTGCCTCCACCCCCATCAGAGGTGAGAGGGCTGGAGTGGGGGAGTCTCCCTTTCTGTGCTGGTGGCACGGCCAGAGTCTTCTGCTTGCTCCTTTTATGAAGAGATTGGTTTTACTCCTGGTATTATTTATTATAACATTATTATTGGCCATTATTATTGTTGATCTTATTTGGCATAAGAATTGCTCACTGATTTCCGCTCCAGATTCGTAAACTTTCATTTTCTTCCTTTCTCTCTTGTCCTCCACCTCTCTCGCTCTACAGACAGACTTCATGCTTCAGGTGTTTCAGCCAAATCCCTCTCTGCCTCCTCGGATGCCCTTCTCCATTGGGCAGGTCACAGTGCCCATGGTTATGCCCAGCGCAGATCCCCGCTCCTTGTCTTTCCCAATCCTAAACCCTGCCCTTTCCCAGCCCAGCCAGCCTTCCCCGCCCCTTCCTGGCTCCCATGGGAGAAACAGCCCTGGCTTGGGTTCCCTCGTTGGCCCCCACGGTCCACACATGCCCCCTGCTGCCTCCATCCCGCCTCCCCCAGGCTTGGGCGGTGTTAAGGCTTCTGCTGAAACTCCCCGGCCCCAACCAGTAGACAAACTGGAGAAGATCCTGGAGAAGCTACTGACTCGCTTCCCACAATGCAATAAGTAAGTATCTTTCAGGACTAATTTAAAAGCAAAAAAAACGTGTCAGAGAAATATCTGTGGGTCAAAATAGGGGAAGTTTCCTGGAGATCTCTCACAAGGACGGCATAGAATCTCTCTCCCTCAACATGTGGCTGCTTAGGGCCCAGATGACCAACATTCTTCAGCAAATCAAGACCGCACGGACCACCATGGCAGGCCTGACCATGGAGGAACTGATGCAGTTGGTAGCGGCCCGCCTGGCCGAACACGAGCGGGTGGCAGCCAGTACCCAGGTGAGAGCTCAGACCTGCTCAGCTGTTGGGGAAGAGGCAGGTTTCATAGGCACTGGGGGCGGCCCACAGCACTGCAGCCAGGGGGCTCTAGCCTGCTTTCTTCCTTTGCTGCACTGGGAAAGAAATGATTTATTTTTGTTATCTGCTCTGTCGCTCAGACTTTCTCTCCTTACTCTGACATTGTTTCTGCCCACAGCCCCTCGGTCGGATCCGGGCCTTGTTCCCTGCTCCGCTGACCCAAATCAGTACCCCAATGTTCTTGCCTTCTGCCCAAGTTTCGTATCCTGGAAGGTCTTCACATGTAAGGCTCTTTTTCTTTGAAAACTGGGTTGTGGAGAAGCTGGGGGGTGAGGAGGGAACAGGTTTACAGATGCAGTGCCGGAAAAAAAAACCACCCTCTCGTCAGCTGGGTTGTTCGCGGCCCCAGCTAAGAAAATGCAGGTACTTCTGGCAAGAATCTGTATTTGAACTTTCTTTTGGTGTAAAACCTTTTGCGACATGGAAATAGGAGATGGCATCATGGGCACAAGAGGCGAGGAGACCCAGAGGTTCCTTACTCTTTGGCCATCCCTCCTCTGTCCTGCAGGCTCCAGCCACCTGTAAGCTGTGTCTAATGTGCCAGAAGCTTGTCCAGCCCAGTGAGCTGCATCCAATGGCGTGCACCCATGTGCTACACAAGGAGGTGGGTGCTACGGACCTTCTTCTTTCCACTCTGTTTTCGGAGTTTTTCTGGAACGTGTTGCTGTGTATCAACTCATCATTAATATCTCAACGTGAGGTTTTCAGTAAGTTGTGGCTTAAACAATCAGCAGATTTCAGAATGCTGGCAGCTAGGATCTCCTAGCTTCCTTTTACCCCGTTCTCTTTAGGGGACTGGATAAGCAGTACATCCTGGAGCACTGATAGGTCACTTTCTTGGAACACTGACAATAAGACATACATATCTAACCATTGTTTAGAATATAGCATTGTCAGGAGACTTTGCTTAGACAAGAAGAACGGAATAGGGAACATGAATATGAGATTAGTAAATCCATTAACAGAATAGCTTGGAGGTCTGCCTGTTAAGGATTATCTTCACAAACTGACAGGTTATTCCTATCTTGGATTATGTTACCAGACAGAGTTAAGTCTTTCAGCAGCAGGGATGATTCCTTCTTTGCTCTTTTGTTTTGTTCATTTTCATTTTTCAAAAGGTAGAAACTGGATTTACATCTAAATTCTTAGGAAAAATCCTGAATAAGATTTGAGGGTGGTGGGTATTTGGAGTTGGGAGTGCATCTCAGCCTAAACAGATCATGAGAAGGGGAAGGCCACCCCAGATATCCAACACAGAGCAGCTTCACACCATTCTTAGCTGATTGTTAATGTTCCCTGTAAGAAGAACAGGTTCCCCTGCTCTGAAGATTCTTTTGGGGGTAAGAGCCAATGAAATAGCCCATCTGGTCCCAATGGTAAGAGCCCTTCTGACTTAGTATGCGTTCCTCAGACCAGTGAACCTCAGTGGCACACTCTCCCCTCCTTCCCTCCATCTTTCCAGATAAACCTGAGATATGTCTTTCTTCCTTTCCAGTGTATCAAATTCTGGGCCCAGACCAACACAAATGACACTTGTCCCTTTTGTCCAACTCTTAAATGACGGACCTGACTGGGGAGGAAGAAGAGGAGAAACTGATGTGAACAGGAAGCGCGGGTTCAAGATTTCTAAAACTCTATATTTATACAGTGACCTATACTCATGCCATGTACATTTTTATTATATAGGTAATGTGTGTATAGAAAGTCTGTATCCAAATGTTCGTAAATGAAAGTATGTATATTATGCAGAAATGGTCTCTCCCTCTCACCTTGCAATTCCTTCGGGGGATGCAGATTGTAGGTAAGATGATGTTTAGTTTGCCCTTGAAATTATGATATCCTTGCCTGGGGCTGTTTTCAAGTACAATATAAAAACCATCTAGGAAGCTGCTGTTGCCCTAAGGCCATCCTGCTTTGATTTGGCTCAGCCTCTAGTTCATTTTCTTAAGGCTCATGTATGCAGATTTGAACCCTGGTGCTCACCTGCTGTCCAACCAGATGCCTTGCTTACTGAAAGCCTACGGAAGCCTCAGTGTTGTTCTAGCCACTCGACTCCAAATGGATAAAATGAGACTGATTGAGGAAAAAAAAAATGTAACCCTAATAGTTTGAATTTTCATTGAATATTTTACTGTGTTAACGCTCATTATTTGCACATAGACATTAGGTTTACAGAATATTCTGTTTTACATCAGCAAAATTCACAGTCCAAGAATACCAACATAACTGGGTCCCATTTCTCCCATGCCCCCCAAAAGCTTCTGTCCATCTGACTTCCTGGATAGGCCTCTCTTTAGAAACTAGCACAGCCCACAGATCTTTCCTGGGCCAAACCATCCCTTGCTGCCACTGACTTGGCTTCCGATCAAGCTCTGACAGACCAACCTTGTGAAGGCCTCACCTCTTCCCCTTCACTTCTGGTCTCCTGGTCAGTTAGTACCCCTCCCCACTGAAGGTTAAGGCAGTTGGTTCACAACCAAGTTGTTTGGTGACCTTGGGTGAGCTCTAGGCAGGCACTGGGGTGAGGAGATGTCTGTGCAAAATTACTTGCAGAATGATCTTGGGATGCCAGATTTTAATTTTTGAAGCAAGAAAATTATGGGGGACATGTTTCCTATCCTGGGAAAAATGGAGGCCAAAGTGACATGAAGGGGGGTTGGAGTTCAAGTTTAGAAGTCATTTGTTCTATAGATAGCTGTCTAGAACGAGATCACTTTCCCACCTCTGCTTATTGAGCACTTCTGGTGTTTAGGTTTATACCTGTGAAAGCTGTGAATCTCTGAGAGCTTTGACTCTTTTCCTGTCCTTTTTTCTTTACTCCTACAGGAAATAGCTTCAGCTTCCTTCTCTTTTGGATTAAACAAGGAAAAACTTAAGTGTTAATTAAAAAAAAAACCAAAAACACTAGCTCCAGGGGAAGGACATCATTGTATTACCAACAGCTGAACTGTTCCCGTTCTGGGACCTGGAAATGCTTCCTGGCGCTGGCGGCACTGTCCGGGTAGCAAACACTTTCCCTTTCAGATCCAGTTATATTCCCTGCTCTTTGCTTTTGATCTTTTCCTTCTTTGTCCTTCGTCTTTGCCTATCAGCCTCTTAGACGTAGTCCTTCCCTTCTTTTGCCTTACTTGCTCAGCCTTGTTGACTAGCATCATTTTCAGGAGCTGGACTTCCCAGGACCTCCTTGGCATCTTGTAGGGTGATTGAAATGGCCTGAGTTCTCACCTCTGTAGAGGTCAGGTGACTCACTTTCTTTGGTTAATGAAATATTCATGTCTCCAGTGTGGTAGCTATCATGAACGGAAATGTGGCAAAATGGAAGACCAGTTCCTTTGTTCTTTTCATTTGGGGGATTCATTTTTTTCTCTTGCAATCAAAAGATTTTCTCTCTCATCAACTTTGCAGTAGCCTTTAGGCCACTAGCAATATTTTTCAGTATTACCTAAAAATCTAGAAATCAGGAATGGATATAAAGGCTATTCTCTTTTCCACAGATCTTTGAAGCCAAAGGAATATAGAGAGAAGAAAGGAAGAAGTGGGGCGGGGGGGGCTTATCCGCTTCCTAGTAAAAGCCCCTTGAAAGCCAACTATAGCAGGAAGACAGATGTTTTGGGGAGCTGTGTGCGAGAGCTGGGGCCTCTGTGTTGCTCTTTTCTCTGTCTTGTTCAGGATCAATCAGAAAGCAACATTTAGGTTTTGGCCACCCTTGTTCTCCCTTCTCCCTCTGTCTCCTGGCCTGCAGGGGTAGAAGCCATGCAGACTGGCGGGAAAGGCCTCTAATGCAGTGAGTAGAGATGGGACAGTCGCTTTTCAGGAGTCGACTCTAAAAATAGAGATAGATAATACATATTTTTACAAGCAAGAAGCTGTTGTTGAGATTTTTTTTTTTTTTTACACTTAGAGTTAAAGTTTCAGGGTAGAAAGGAAGTAACTGTAAAAAGAAAAATAAGTACAAGTTTTTTTAAAAAAAATATGACAGTGGGACTTAACTAATGAAGGGGTTGAGTATTATGCCCTGGAAAGAGCTGGGGAAAAGCCAGTTTTCCCCAACATGGATAGAAATTATAAAGCAGAATGTGGCGTTTTTATTACATGGTAGCAATTCTGGAAGTTTATTTACACAGTAAGTTCCGAGCTGGAAACGGACACTCTCCAGTCTTCCTGACAGTCTCTGTGGTTAGGGGTGTTCCCAGTCGGCCAAAGCAGCACCAAGTGCAAGGGGAATGAAGAGAACCCAGATAAAGAACTGTGATTCAATATTCTTGTTTTATTGGTTTATGGCTTGTGGGCAGCTGGCCGAGGCCAGGGTCTCCAGAGGCCCTCCTTGTATTTCCCTTTCCCTCATCAGGTAATTCCACACTCGGCAGGTCCCATCCCTGGAAGCAGTGTGTTGACAAGCTAGCGACAGGACCCGGTGGGTATACGCGGAGAATCACGTCTTCCACTAACACTGGTATCAGAGTTGACTGTGTTAGAACTGATCGGGAGGAAATGAACTTGGTCCCCACTACCTAGCCCAAGAACCAGCCTGGGTACCCAAGTACTATTCGGAGTGGGGAGTAAGGAGTAAGATAGGGGAGAAGGATGGCATCCCCTGAGGGGCTCTGGTGGTGAAGGAAGTACGGAAGCCCTGAGGCTGGCAGCCTTTCTCTAGCAGCCTTGTTATCGAAGGCAATGATGCTAGAGCCAGAAAGCCCTGCGTTTCTGACACTGGGTGTAATACTAGTGCCCCTGTGGGGTGCCTTAGCCAAGTTAATGGAGGGGACATCAGAGAGGGTGAGAAGGCGATGAAACCGCTCTGTATCGTGTGGAGATCTTACTACTACTTGCTGCTGAACAGGAAGAAATCCAGGCAGAGGCACCAGGGCATCAACCCTGTACCTGTCGAGTGAACCTTGATGATTCTGCTTTCAAGGGTTAAGAAAGAGAGGTCTCCTGTCTATCCCTCTTAGCACCTCAGCTGCAGAGCTCCAGAGGAAAAGGGGTTTGGGGGTGGGCGTGAACACGTAAGCAGGAAGACAGAGCCAGGCCCTGCTCTATTTGGTGTGTTCCAGTTGCTTCTCATAGGGCACCTGGGGCTGGGGGTGGGGAGTGGGAAGTGTCAGTGTTAACCTAGCGTGTGTGGAGTAAAGGGTTCAGGTAGAGACAAGTGGAATCATTCCGGTAGAAATTCATTTGTTAGATGGAACTTCTTAGTGGGCACTTTTCATTTAAGAGAGTTAAAAAGAGCTTTTTGGCTAGGTAAGCCCTTCTTCCCAACTCACTTTCGGTCAGGCTACAACCACAGAAAAAACATCGGGCAGCGACGCCCATCTTACAAGATGGGCTTCTATCTTGGAGATGCAGTCTGAAACTGGGACTGGCGAGTGGCGAGTGGCCGTGGTTCTGCCTTTTCTAGCTCTGATCCCAGCTGTTCCCTGTCTTTGCGCTCCCTCTCCTCTCTTCGAACCGCCCCATCTGTACAAATATTCAGTCTCATTTTTGTTTAATTCACGAGGCAATCTTTGTACCAATGTTAGGCTTGTTTCTGCAGTCCCTGTCACTAAAGCAAATCGCAAACCGTGCGTCCGTTCCTACTGACTTTGGTCAGGGAAGCGGCGTTGGCCCTTTCTCTGCCAAGGGTACGGCAGAGAGACGCTCACGGGGGTGACTTGGCTGTGATGCCACTACTTCTGGAACTAAGAAGAGACGAATACTTCGGGTTGGAGAATCCAGAGGGGTGGGGGGCAAAGGTTCAAGGCTGAAGAATTTCCCAACTCGGGCTGGAGGTGACCAAGAATATTCCCGCCACCAGCGTGCTGCTTTCTTCCCTCTCCTGATTCCTACAGGTGCCATTCCTGTCACCCACCGTGCCCGCCCGCCCTTCTTTTCGGGCAGGGCCGAGGCATTTGGTGGGTAGGTGAGGGTCTTGAGGTGCTCTGGCCCCCAGTGCCAGCAGAGCGTCCTGCTCGTGCCCAGAGTGAGCCAGCAGGTGCGGCCCAGGAGAGTCCCTGTCTCCTGCCCGTGGGCCGCCTCACTTCAGCAGGGAGATGTCGTCGGCAAAGTCCCCGTGTTGCTGGCGCAGGCAGCGCAGGCAGCGCCACTGGCACACCATGAGGCAGAGCGGCAGCATGAAGAGGGCGCAGATGGCCGCCATGACGTAGGCTATGGTCATGAGCGTCGACTCGTCTGTCTGTGGGATGTTGTAGCCACAGTCTTCCATGTCCGGGGTCATAAACGGGCCTTCCACTGCTGCCGTCCTGAACTCATCATGCACTGGAGAAAGGGCAAACGCGAATGGGCAGCTCTCACCGTCACACAGCAGTTTGGATCATAGAGCAAAAAGAACTTCCTGGTAGGCCTTGAAATCAGCCCGCGAGGAGGCCCTAGCATCTCCTCCCTTGGAGATATTTAGGAGCAGGCCAGAGGAGCCTTGCTAGGTAGAAGCACGTCTCTCCTCCCAGGGCACTGGGAGCAACAACCCTTTCCTGGGTAACCATGCGGCAGGAATGATACCTAAAGGTCAGTCTCCCGAGTTGACCAAAAAGACAGCCCCGTGTATTCCTAGTACACTCACCGGCTTCCGCCGGTACCGAAGACCCCACCGCCTTCTGAAGGCACACCCGGCCCCATCGTGGAGCAGCCCACGGGGCCTGGGGATCTAGAGCTTCCCTAGGGGCCGAGGCAGCTCTTGCTGGTCCGGGCCTCCGGCGGAGCTACAGCCCAGGGAGGGCCTCGCCACGCCGGGCACACGGACAAAGCATGGGCCTGGACGCTAGCTTTGACACCGGCTGTTGGCTCTGCCTCGAGGCAACTGTGACTACCTCCCAGGCTGACAGGGGCCCAGGGATCCTAACTGCCGGACAGTGAGAACACGGACAGACGGAGCCCACACCCTCCCCCCTGGCTCTTACCATGACAGGCACTGACGGCAAAGCCAATTCGTTTTCGGGCCCGATCAAAGACGACGTAGAAGCCCTCCATGATCACAGCTCCCATCACAGTGCCCGTGGAGGACTGTGAGATGGCGAACTTGTAGCAGTCGTCTTGGGACGTGGCCACGTCTTCCACTGGCCGCAGGTATTGCTAAGGACAAGCAGTCAGAGAGGGAGAAGGGTGTCCTCCTCGCTGCATCCCTCCCCCTCCCTGCCTCTGCCTTCTGGATCTCTGTGCCCAGGGGCCGCTCTTCCCTCTGCCATCCCCGAGCTCTGTGGGCTTGCTTTGTGCCGCAGGACGCTGCTGTCTTTTGTCTTCCACGTTCTGCGAAGCCACGCCGGCTCCCTGACTCCCCGTGTGAACCGTGCCCTCTTCCTGGGACCCCACTGACTCCGGCTGGGGACATACCTGTGGAAGGATGGTGATGCGGAAGGACTGATTGGTGACCTCGCCCATTAGGTAGAGGGAGATGACCGGGAAGATGTTCCAAGGGGTGGTGCCTGCCTGCCAGCATACCAGCTGCTCCCCCAGCCAGAACCCGTCCGGAAACTTCTCCGTCTGTGTGGCCAAGAAAGGGTAACAGTGAGGAAGCCGCCTCTTCCGCCATCGCGCTACTCCCACTTTCAGATAACACTGGGCTCTCTTTTTGCTTTTCTATGGAATATCCAAATTGGGGAAGGGCACACTGAACCCCAAGAATTAGGGGAAGAGAGCTGGAGCGTGAGGCCAAAACTCTGTACCAGGGGGCCTGTGGAATGAGCAAGCCGAGGCCCATGAAAGAGACTCGCTCTGAAGACATTTAAGTAGAAGGATCTAAGGGTAGACAACTTGTCCCTTGCTGAGGGGACAAGGGACCTTCACGGACTTCCTCTGACACTGTGTCATCTCTTGTACCCCTGCCCTGAGTCCCACTGACCGAGGAGGCTGCCTTGATGGATTTGACAGCAGCTTCAAACACTTTCTTGGGCAAACGAAGATTGGTGGTGCCACTGTCCACGATGCTCTTGTCGTAGTTGTACTAGGATGGAGAAGAGAGGTTTAGAAGAGTCAAAAGCCTTGTTTGATGCTGGGATCTGGCCAGAATCAGAAGGGGGGATCTGACTGCTTGGGGTGGCATCCTGGCTTGGCACTTCTCTTAGGAGTATACCCTTGGGCAAGTTGTTCAGCCTCTGTGCCTCCGTTTCCTCGTCTTTAAAATGAGGATAATAATAGCACCTACCTCAAAGAGTTATTATAAGGATGAAATTAATACACGCGAAGCGCTTAGAATGGTGTCCGGCACGTAGGGAGCGTTCAGTAAATGCTAACTCTTAGTATCTTGGGTTGGGCAGACATTCTCCAAATCTTGAAAATAAAAATACCTTGTATAGTGCTTTTAACTTTTCATAGTCCTTTTATATCTATTCTCATTGAACATACATTAAGAATCTAGGTAAGGAAGACCCAAATGGTTGAGCTACCGTTTATTGGGAACTTCTGTGTGCCAGGCACTGGGAGAAACAATTTATTTTCTCTGTCTTCACCACAATCTCTGGAAAAGCTGTTTTTCCCTCTGTTTTGCAGATGAGGAAACTGAAACACAACCTAGTAACTTGCCTAAGGGCACATAGCTAGTAAATGGCAGAGCTAGGAACCCAGGTCTTCCCAGTTCCAAAGCTGGACGCTTCCGCTACATCATCCCACACTGCCCCGCACATGACTTGCCCAAAGCCGTCAAGCAAGGCAGTGACTGGAGTCCAGACATGCTTTTTTTTTCCTTACCAGACCATAAGCCCCAAGGTCCCCTTGCAAGTGCCCTGCCAGTCCCTCGCCCCCCAACTTCAGGTCCTGCTGTGTCACCGTTAAGCTCCCAGTTGTCCTGGGCTCAGCCCCCAACCCTTTCTGCAGGTCCTACTCCTCTGCCTCATCCTCCCAATCTCATAACTCAGGGTCTGACCTCATGCTATGTTGCCTCCCCCTTCCCTTTCCCTGGGTTCCCCTTGGTGGTGTTACCTCCTTGCAGTCCATTTTCAGGTCCTGCCCGTTGATCTCCACCCGCACAATGATGACCTCGTAGTACCACTCCCGCCGGATGGGTGTGTACCAGAGGCTGCCCGTGTACAGTGAGTGGTCGATACCTCCGATGATCTAGGGACAAAGGGTGGCAGGTACCCGTGTCCCGGCACAGAGGGACAGCAAGTCACCCAGAGAGCAAGCAATGGGATCAGAGATTTCTGGGAGGGTAGCAAGGCCCTTCACAGGCCACCTTTCTCATCTTCCTGCTTCTAATCAAATCCTGTCCCAAAGTGATTTGTAGTTTCTTAAGTGTGTTAAGAATATATCAGGGGAAGACTTTACAGGATTTTAAATTATTTGTTTCAGAGTCTCACAGCCCTCGATATAAAGTTATTTAAACTTAAACTGGCACAATAAATGTTAAATGAATGATTATTTGCTTCTATTTCAAGTTTTATTTTCTCTGCGTGTTGGAGATGGAGAACCATTCACCAACTGTCCTAATTAATTAATAAATAGACTTTTAACTCCTTACATTGCTGCCTTCTGCTCATCAGACTGAATCATCTTAATTTGAGAGGTCTTATTTTCTTTCTTTTTTTTTTTTTTTAAGATTTTATTTATTAGAGAGAGAGAGAGGGCACGAGTGGTGGGGGCACAGAGGGAGAGGGAGAAGCAGACTCCCGGCTGATCAGGGTGCCTGATGTGGGGCTCGATCCCAGGACTCTGGGATCATGACCTGAGCTTAATCGACTGAGCCACCCGGGTGCCCCGAGAAGTCTTATTTACATTTCCTTTGAAGTTCCCTAATCATTTCATCCTTTCCAAGTTTACCATAGGTACCTGGAATACTTTCTGGAATAATGCAAAGAAGAAAAGGATGGAAAAGGAAAAGTGGAGGTGGGGAGTTTAAAGAGGTTTCTCTTGATTCTAAGTAGTGGAGCCCAAGACTGTGCGGTAGCTTAGAGGGAGGGGAGGCAGGTGATACCCATCCCTCTGCCCAGTGCTAGAACCTCCCCTCTCCTAGGACCTACTCACCATGCTCCCTCCAACTGAGGCCAGCACTTCCGACTGGTTGAGGGGGAACCCAGCACCACAGAGCTGCAGGGAGAAGAGGTTGGGAACGTGGGTCTGCTTTACCAGGGAGTCAAAGAATGGCTCCAGGGAGTCATCGGGCTGTGGCAGAAAGAGACAAGGAGTGAGGCCTCACACAGAGGGCCCTATGGAAAGAGGCCAGCTTCCTGCCTAAACTGGAAGGCAAAAGCAAAACTTGGGGGATGTTCCTTGGGAAAGACTGTCTTGAAGTACTGCGATTTGGCAGAGAGGGTTAGCAAGAGACACTGGGCACAGTGCAAACAGGAAAGAGCTATAGAATCTTTGATCCCCATATGCTTAACCTGTTTCAGGTTTGGCGGGGTGGGGGGGGTTCCCTTATTCCTAAGATCTTGGGAGTCGGTAGAAACCAGGCTCTAATCTTGCACCTGTCACAGCATCCCTCAGTATAGTCCTGCCCTCTGCAGGGACGAGATTCAGACTGCCACCCTATCCCCCTGCTAACTAATCCTTTAGGCTGATCTGTGTCCCTCCCTTAGTCAGTTCCCCTTCTCTCCGAGCCCGTCCCGGGGTAACATGCGGTGTGCGGTGCAGACACAGGGCCCCGGGCTCGGCCTTGCTCCTCTCACCCTGGCGATCTCAGCATAGGCCAGCCCCAGGATGCCCTCCCAGTTGGAGCCATTGATGAAGAACTTGTCTGATTCAGTGATGGCAGCGATGTTGGCACGCACAGTGACGTTGGGGCCATGGGGGATGCTCACCAGGTCGGTGCCCAGCTCCCCCTCCCACTTGCCCTGGGTGTAGGGCACATAGACGCCCTTCCGGAGGTCCCGGTATGTGCTGGACCTGTGGAGAGGAGGCAGAAGTCTGTGGGGGCGTGACCGCAACACTTGCAGGGGGACCCAGCATCTGACCTACTCCCGAGGCCTCACCTTATCTCAGGGGCAGCCCACATAAGATAAGATGCTGTCAGGCTGCTCAGCAGAACATCCCAGATCCATCACCCAGAACAGAACGTACAGTAAGCTTGCAAACAGATGAGGGGAGCTGTGGCTGGGGCTCACTCTCCTGTCTCCACAGCTCCTATCCCTAGATCTCGAGCTCAGGCCCCGCGGGGAACAAGCCTAGGCTTTGTGTATTGTGCCCGCTGCCGCCGAGGGACAGCTAGCGGGCATCTCTTCCTCCCCCCGGCTCCATCAGGCTCCCAGAGAAAAGGGGCCTTTGACTGTCGCTGCCTTGGGACCCGGTGGTACCATCTGAGTGGTAGAGAAAGTGCCAGGCGCGGTGAATGTGCAACCTCTACAGCAAGTTCTTCCAAAGGAAGAGTTGGCACAGCATCTCAGCATAGCAGGTAAGTATTACACACCACTCGTATGGAACATGCGCATCAGCACGGGACACCCTCGCCCGTGTCTCATTGTGCCACTATCCAGGCCTTGTGTGTGTGCCCGGTTCGGGGTGGGGCGGGCAGTGATGGGACTGGGACAGGGATCCGGAGTGAATCCCTTTCCTGGGTCCTCACCACGCCCCACTCCCTGTCTGCTTTCTTCCGATAGGGAAGGCAGAAGACGTGGCAGGTGGCTTTGGCATCTGCCTAGAAGTCCAAGAATGGGATGTAAGCCTCTCCTCACAGATTTGCACACACAGAGACGCCTCAGACACTAGATGTCTTCTCGCCACTTCCTGTGTTTATGCTAAGGAGTCTCCCACATCATTCCTCTTTGCCTCTTACCTTAAAAACCCACTTCAACCCTCCCTTCCACCGGTTAGCTAGATCCGGCTGATGGAACTCTGGGTGGTGCAGGGAGACATTTTAGCTGTCGGGCCCTGACACCGGCCCAGGCGGTGGGGCTTATGGAAGGCTCTTGCTCCACTCCCTTGAACTGTGCAGTGCCACCCGGAGCAGCCCCTGGCTGAGAGCACGGCACGGGGAGCGGTCACGGTAGCCTGCTCTGCCTAGACTTCGTTGGTCTCGCCGGACACCCGACAGCCACTGTGGGGGGTGCGGGGTGCGGATGAAGTCTCCAGGCAGAGAGAAGAAGACCCTGAGATGGCTCTGGGAGCACTGGGGCTCCTCTCCTTCCTTCTTTCCCTCCCCAAGGAAGCTGCCCTGTCTCGGTCCTGAAGAACTTCCTGCCGGCCCCTCAACCTACCCTTTCCCATAGTAGACCTCCTCAAATCCCCCCTCTCCACTCTTCTCTCCTGGAAAGGATCCGAGGAGCTCCTCTTTCTCCCCGAAGCCCTCCCCTGACCCTTCCGGGCCCTGGATCCTTGGGAAGCGTTCTTCTCTCTAGCTCCCCCAGGACTCACAGCTGCCTCTGGTAGTAGCGATGTAGGAAAGGGTGGGGGGCAGCCCCCACTGCAAAGTTACTGCTGCCTGTGTCCACCAGGATGTTGAGCTGTCAGAGAAAGGGGAGAGAAAGATGTTATCAACGTGAGGCTCTGGGCTCACTACCTTCATTGTCCTTCACTCCACGGGCAGCAAAGTCTCCCTTTGGAATGTCCAGGGCGAAGCTTCTAGGATGCAGGACTGGACAGCCTGGCACCTGCTACCACCATGACCACAGGCAGAATGTGGCATCCTCTGACATCCTCAGCATGGCCTCGTGTCTGCTCCTGGCTTCGCTGTGGAATCCTAACATTTTCTGTGTTGTCAAAGCCACATTATCTCTGCGTCTGTGTGGTTTTCATTTCTCTTTTCTCTCTACCTTCAGACTGCCCTTACTCACTTCGGGTACCTGTCCGATTCTGTCTGCGGGGCTTGCGCCTTGCCTCCTTCTCTGGTCCTCCTAGGAAGCATATCACCCAGCGGGCAGCTGGGCTCGCATCCCCGTCCAGCTCGGAAATGCTATTCCAGGAGCTGGCACTGGCCAGGGAAGCTGCGGGGACCAGGACGGCGTCGTCCTGCCATTTCTGACCCTGCCTGCCAGAATGCGGCTCCCCACGAAGGGCTCCCCTTCTGTCTCTGAGGTGACGCAGGCCTCTGAGGCCTACTATCAGAAAATAGTAGGGAGCAGGAGCTTCCTCTGCTGTCATGGTGAAAACCCATCTCGTCAGGGCCCTGGGTTTTGGCTCCGTGAATCAGGACAGGTGTCTTCCCAGTGCTCCTTGATGTGCAGCTCCTTCGAGCATTTTTCTTTCTTGACCCTCCTTTCTCCTTCAACCGCCTGATCCCTCCCTCGGCCCAGAGCCGCGTTCTGAATGCCAGTAGCATCCTCACAGGCCAGAAGAGGAAATGCCCCTGTCCTCAGAAGCACGGAACCCTGAGAATTCAGCCCTCTCGTGCTGACTTTTCATGCCCATCAGCTCAGCGGCTCCCCTGACCTCAGGGCCCTTTTACTCCCATGTCCTCTCTCCTCAGTGCAGTGAAGTCAGCTGACCTCAGGTTTGGTGCAGGCTCTGACCTCGTCACCTTGGGCAAGTCACTGTGCTCCTCTGGGCTTCAGGTTCCTCCCTGCCAGGTCCTCTGGCTCCTTCCCGCTCTCGGTGGCCCTTGTGGCTCTGTAGGCCGCCCCTCCCCCAATGCCTGTGGAGGCCTCCTGGCCTCCCCGTGTCCCCCAAGACGCCTCCTCTGGTCCCCATGGTGGCCCCAGCCCTCTGACCCCGGCCCGCCCTCCTTCCCAGCCCCCCACTCCTGGCCCAGTTCCCATCCCCCTCCCTGCCCTTCTTCCCCATGCCCCCGCCCCCCCCCGCCCTCTCCAGGGTCTGTGGGCGGCCACCAGCTCAGCGGGCTGTGCTTTCACAATCAATAGAACTGGAGGCGCAGCAGTTCCGATTTCAGTCAACCAGGTTAATGATTAAAACGGCTTCTCGGCGCCCCCCCCCC